TGAATGATTTAAAAGAGAGAAACTAATAGTTATTGTGTAACTCTGTTACTAGATACTTATATTTTTATGTGCTGAATGTTATTAAACTATCTTGTAATGTATCAGACAGGAAGATTTGATATGATACATTCTGTCGAGTAAAGAGGAGAAAAGTTCAATATCAACTCAGAGTTTCTAGAGTCCTTATCTCATTTGTACAACATAATCTCTTTGTGATATAATTCAATATAATATCAATTTTATGCAACTATTTCAATTTTTTTCCAGTTGTACTATTTAAACCAAGTTGTTGCTTGAAAATCTTTTCCGACAAAAATTGTCCTAATATGCTACTAGACATTTCTGTCAATAGACTTTGAACTAGTGCATTTCGATCAATAATGTGGCATACTTAGATTAGTAAAGGTATACTTGTGAATAGAACGAGATTTCTAGGATGACGTTGAGGCATCAAGTGAAAACCACAAACAGTAAAAAAGGAACAAAAAAGAGAAGTTAATTAACATATTAAGAATTTCAAAAGCGTCAAACTTAGTCTATGAAAATAATGGTTTTTATTAGTCAGCAGGTTGATGAGAATCAAATGAAAAATTAATGTTGTCAAATAAATTAAAGGATGATATGCATGGAACTTTGTCATCTGGTGATTACCCAGTCATATATATATATATATATATATATATATATATATATATAGACACCCTAAAAACGTTTCAACTTGTATTATCCCATTGGAATTTATCATTATATTGTGACACTGATGAGTAATTCTTATATCGTTGCTGAGCTGAATCATTTAATCAACTGAGTCCCCCTATTTTTACTCATGTTATGTTGTGGATACTCTGACAATTATTGCCTTTGTAGAAAAATGTCATTTTTCTAAGCAAAGATTATATTGAACTATAACTGCATGTAGTACAGAATAACATCGTTAAAATGACAACTCAATGAAATACAAGTGAACGGTGCAACAGAAGTGGAAAAATGGCATACGTATTTTCATCACTGTTTATGGATATTCTAGACTATGTTCTATTAGATTAACACTAAATCTACACAGAAAACAATCAACTTGATCAAAAGTGGGTTTTGAGACTTTCGAAGTCAAATGACTAAAAGGATAAATTAAACTTCAAATCTAAGAAACAATTTCAAATATAGAGCTTACTTATTAAAAATAAACAGCAACAGTTCATGATGGTCCAAATGAACTAACAAGAGGGGTTAGCTGATTAAGTAAACCAACTTTCACTCAAAACAATAAGACACGGGTTTTCATCCAACGCACACAGCATATAATAACTACGTTTATCACTGAATCTACGTCGTATTTAAATTGAAATATGTAGAATTTATTTAATTTGATGTATCATAGACCGAGAGAGTTTTTAAACTAATTCGTTTTGGACCAGTCAGTTACTGTAGTTTGGTCAATATCACAGTAGTCTAGTTGACATAATTCAGTGATATTTGTTAAATATTCTTGAAATATGGTAATAATGGGTTTGTTGATTTCATAATGAACTTACTTAATAAAAATAATCGTCAAAATGCCTAGTTTCAACTTAAAGCCTTACCATTCATTATTTCTATATCTTAGTTTCATATTGAATATATTTTTTTTGTAAAGCACGAATAAAAATAATGTGAGGTGATGATGGAAATTTAATTCATTTCGTTTTCATTAATTTCTTTAGAAATGAACTATCCTTTTACGTAAACAAAGTCACTGGTTTTTATTTGGGTAATATCTAAATGTAAATGGTTAAGGTCTGAACTCCTGAGGATTTCATAGGAGAACAATGTTGTGGAGCTCTTAACTAAGTTAAAAGAAGTGTTCGATGGTCTATTAAATCCGTGGTAACGTCCTATCTCAGAAAACGAATTTTTAGAGTATCTGAAGTGAATTGATTTCATTTCGTACAGTATTTGTTAGTGTTAATTGTAAAAAAACTAATAAATACGTTAATGACAAGCTATATTTTACATAATTTACCTTCTATTAATCATAATGAAAAGAAAGGTGAATATGTACAACATAAAAGCCAGTTTAAGTAATCTCATTTACATTTAGAACAGATGGTGATATAATTTACGTTTACTTATAGTCATTCAAATATACTTTTACAAACTCAAGTTTGAATAAACTAAATTTCATCTGTAAAATTCCGAACATAATCATGTGGATGTAATACATGAAGTTGAATTACTGATTTTTATATTCATATGGAAACTACGTGTTTTATGACTTCTAAGTAATAAGTAAGGTAGATGATATAACAATCTATTGATTTCTAATTAGTAAAGTTTTAGAAACTGTCATTAAAAAAAGTTGAGAGCAAAAAGAATAATAATAATAACTGAATTACGTTCATCTAGACAAGAATGAATGATGAACAAATGACTAAATTTCAACGATGTCAATGTACTAGAAAAAAAGAATGTTCCTATGTTATTCAAACCAAATAAAATATATTATACATGGCGCCTTTCCAAAAATACAGTCATTTTAAACAAATCGAAACAAGTACTATTTCATAAAGATTTAATTACAACTTTTCAGTAGGACTATTTAGTTTAGTCATTTATCTCACCGATTAAAAAAAAAAGAAATACAATATCTGACATTATGACTACATTGCAGTATAACTATCTACTTGTTATCGACTGAACCAACAACGGAATTCAAAGTGGATTAAGTGGAATTTGACAATTTTGAAAGAAGCCGATTTAAAAGAGATGAAAGAATGGGTTTGGTAGAAGAACTCAATTTCAACTGGTCGGCTTGCTTATATTGTTAGTTAGGTTTAAATAAATGTTTTCTAATCAGTTTCATAGAAGTAAACGAAAAATTGATTGTTCATTTTCTGACACATTAGATACTATTATTAGTGTGTTCACATTCTTAATGCAATAATTCAATAAACGGATATAGAAATATCGATTGGCAGATTGTAAGTAAACTTCCACTGTATGATCAGATGTGACCATAGGCATAGTCACTAAACTAAATATTAATGTGAATTTAATGTTTTTATATTTTCTCATCCTTTTTTTCTTATATTTCTAAGTGAAACTGCCTCACAAGAAAAAATTTCTGCAGTCATATGGAACACCTCTGTAGCATATATAAAGAGCATGTACGCTATGCGAAAGTTTCGTACGTGTTATTTCAAAAATGCCAATAAAGATCCACAAAATTGAAGCGATCAGCATAGATAGAAAACAGTTTATTGTATCTGTTGTCGATTTATTGTCTATTTAAGTTGGAATTGTGGAGTAGTTAAATACAAAGTAGAAATGATATTTTAGTTGATGAGTTTATAAACTTTCATTAACTAAGGTGATTATGAAATGTGATACTGATATTTGCTTAGATTTACTGAACTATCTTGACAACTACAAAAAAATACTGGACCAAGCTTAATGCTATCAGATCAAAACGTAGCACCAAACTACACAAAATTATTAAAAGTTGGAAGTACAAAATTATTGTTTACACGGCCGTGTTTACACATAAACCATGATTGAAAGCATATATGATTTGATCAGTCTTTGTTATAGTGACTCAATTCATTCATAATCGTTTTTTTTTTAATTTTTAATAGAAGTCTTGTACTACTTTCTATCTTAAGTTTGTTCTAATGTTGTCGTTCAGAAGAACGATGAAAACTTCACGATCAAACCATTCAGCTCAAAGAACAAAGTCTTTAGAGTTAACACTATTCCATTTACTTCAAATGTCGATCTCATTCAAGTTTTTAAACTAATTTTTTTTTCTTTACGAAACATTACAATTAGCGATTTGATTTAAAAGTCTTTTATATTAAAAATTTACTTTTGTTAGGAGTAAATTGTATGGTATAAATCAATATACCCGTATGCTGATTATACACATGCAAAACTCCAGAAAAAAAGAGTAACACAAATTGACTAATTACTCTTAGCGATATGAAGAATGGTAATTGATAGATTTAGTTACTAAATGAAGATGATAAATAAATTGAATTTTTTTCTTCATATTTTGAATAGTTAAAATGAGTAATCTCTTTGAATAAAATTACATGAGTTTAACTGAATCTCTACAAAATCTTATCATCATTATTATTACTATTATAAATTTTATTGATAAACTTTTTATAACTATGATGATAGGCATGAAAATCGGTTGTAACTGTGCTAGAAATGGAACGTTCAACAACTTTTTTCTGTCTCAGTTAAATAACATAATCTCTGTCACTGTCTATTCACATGTTTCATACACTATGGAATTTGATTCTTTTGTAGCTTTTAATTTGAATTATAGAAAGTAAAACGATATAATAAAATCTCTATTGCAAATATAACTCATCACTAGTTTGATTAAGCAATAGAAGACTATAATACAGCATAATACTTTTACAACCATGATATTTTTTGATACAAAATAGTATAAAATACTTTTAATTCATTAAATATTATTATATGAATCGTCTAATACAAGATATATATATTCCATTTTATTTAAGATTTGTCAAGTGAATTTACTTGTAACATAGAGTTGATGTTATCACTGACACTTTGATATAATATCCAATGTTTCAAAATCAATAGCGTTGTTCACCAGGTAAGCTTAACTGAAGATAGAATACGCTTTATCTATTGTACAGCTGATACTAAACAAAATGTAAGTCACTTGTAGCGCATATGAGCAACAAATCGAGGGATCTTTCTAAGGTGTTTATGCACTAAGAGATACTAATGAAATTTAATATTTTGATTATTGAAAACAAAAAAAAATACATAAAATCTCTAAAACAAGATGTTATCCAATTTTCAAATTTTCCCATCTCTATCTATTCAACTCCCTGTTATTTGATCATGGTATGTGAAAATCGAATGAACTATGTTTTAAGAATCCTACTATACATTTTAAATAAATAAAACCCAAATTATAAGTAACTTGTACATAGAAATAATCTGAATTGTACAGAAATAATAATAAAATTGCCACTAACTTGTCATTTGAATTAAAAATGGTGGCCTGCTGTCTAATTTACCAGCTGCATGTATAACACGACAATGATAACTTCCTGTGTGTTCAATACCAAAAACTGCTATACGTAAATTTCCATTACTTCGAAATTCTGTATTTGGTAAACGCCTAATAATAAAATAAATGTAAAGTAGAAATGAAATAAATCGATCATAGTGAAAGTATATATGTAATTAAAGTTTCATGCTGAATTTCATCTTTCAATTTGGTCAACATGTATTTAGATAGAAACCGTTAGTAAGTATTCAAATATATATATACTAAATTTCCTTAGTCAGTTACATAGTTTGAGAGTTAGTTACATGTTACAGTATGACAGTTAAATACTGAAAGTTTCCACAATAACTTATAAAGGATACTTTTATTTTCCTCCCTTACTGGGAAGAAGTCAATGGTAGTCAACTGTGTATAAATATATAGTTCATTTATTCTCTGTTAGTAAATTGATATTGAGAAGCTTTATGAAATCCTTACATAAATATTCTTATCAAGGACCACCAACACTGACAATATTGAGTTCAATTATCAATCAGCTGTAATAGACAGATTGATGAAGCGACAAACCAACAGACAGACCAACATATCATTAGATTCTCTTAATTCCCAGTCATATTCTCCTCATAACAATATAATATATAGACTAAACAGATAACCGACTTCATTATTCACCAAAATTTTCATCTCATCAAAACTGAGGAGAAAACTTAATGGAGTAACTAGTATCATTTAATGAAAATTAATCAGATATTGTCCATCCCCAATATATTTTAATACACACTGTATCCGATAATGAAATATGATTTATTAGTTTCGATTTAAACGAGTATATGTTAAATTAATCATAATCTTGGTTTTGTAACAGCTTTAATCATAATTCCAATACAAGATCACAAGAGTTTATTAATACTGATCAATCTAGATAATTTTATTCCCTCATCGGAAGCTAACTGAAACTCTATGTACACAGCCATACTTAAACGAGTTGGAATTTTGTTCAACTTATTTCCCTACATTATTAACATCGTAGGTTTTTATGCATTTAAGTCTGTGAATAGAATTTAATAGCCATTTGTCATACAAACCTGTTGTTTGCTGTCCCCAACATAATAATTATTTCTCTGTTTTCCACTTGAATAATTACAGAGAAGACAAGTTGATGAGAAGTTTACACCTTCACTAGTAAACTACAGTAAATATTCTTAATCATCACATGTATAAGTTTACCATAGAAAGGATAGACAGCTGTAGATAAGCAAAAGAAGAGGAAAGAAAGACGGAGACACCTAGAGAGAAAATGAAGTGATGGGTAGTAGTTTGTTAGTAAAAATATTTAGATGATCAAGTAAGAATAAAGAAATAAGGTGGATGCATGTATGCAAATAGGCATATATGCTTATATGTATATATGCAAAGATTACAATAAACAGATATCTTTTATTAATTTGGGAGTCGCCTGCCTGTTTTGTCATTGTTAAAACAAACACCAAATAATAGTAATAATAATAATAATAATAGATGATTATGCGATAAATTCACGTAAAACCGACTTTACATCAAATGAAAACAAATAAAGTAGAAAGTTTCCTTGACATTATTTAAATTATATTGTTATGATAATAAGAAATAACAGTAATAATAATAATTAAAATATTAGAAGAGAAACTTAGAGGATAGATAATTGTAATAATATTATGGGTAGTGAATATATATGGTAGTATACTATAGACATTGACTATGAATGAAATAAGGTTGAATAAAGAATAGAATATGAAAGAAAAAAAACCAAACAATGAAAGATAAACAAAGTACAATTAATAATAAAGAGAATAATCAATATCCAAAAAAAACTATTTTTATTTATGGTTTTTCTATCAGTTTCTTATTAGACTATACTGAGATTATAAATTAATTATCAGGTAATTTATAATACTATTGATTAGATAGGTTGATAAGATTGTTACATACAACGTATATATATTAAACTAATAGTGTAAAACAATTCCGTTGATGTTAAATAATGAAAATCATTTAGTTTAATATAGGATTAAAGTATAGGCATTCTAGATTCCATTCTCTTCACATTCCGAACAAACCAGAGTGGAACAATTATGTTTAGATGACTAACTGATATGTGATTTGATTAACATATCTCTGTTAACTACAAAATAAACACTTCTGGTTCAGTTAGCTACAATGTAGAACCAGGCACATATATGCATCGGTCGAAGTTGCCATACCTCATTAGCACTAAACTCATAGAAGCAGTTACTTCAAAGGTAGTATATGAAAAAGCATTTCATATAAGGATCTGATACAGGGAGAAAGAATTAACTCGTAGAAAGAAAGGTATAAAGCAATTTTAATCTCATGGTTTAAGGGAAGACAGAGAGTATATACACCTACGCCATTGTGACCGACTCTGAGCCATGTCACCCAGAGTCTCCAACCAGTGGTTACGATAGTCACGCGGAACAAAACCAAGTAGTCTGCATCTACCAATATGGCTCAGGCTAGAAGTTAGTGACTTAAAGCACCGATACCATGTTTTGGTTTGGTCGCCTCTAACTTTCTTCCAACCATCCCCAACAATAGTCAGCATTGCGCTTCGTGATAGTCGGTGTTCAGGCATACGTAACACGTGGCCCAACCATCTCAGTCGACGAAGATTCACAATCTCATCAACTGATTTACCATCATTCCCTAATACCCTACGTCTAACCTCACTATTACTCACCCGGTGATCCCAACAGATGCAAATAATATTTCTAAGGCATTTGTGGTCAAATACTAATAGCTGACGAGTATCTTCTACTCTTAATGGTCACATTTCACAGCCATAAGGTAGAACAGAATGAACTGCTGCGCAGTATACTCGTCCGTTAATTGATAGACGGATATCTCGCCTTCGCCATAGGTGACGTGGGTTTGCAAAAGCTAATCGAGCTTTTCAAATCCGTGCCGAGATTTCGTCAGACACCAACCCATTAGGGCTGATCAAACTTCCTAGATAAGTGAAGTTGTCGACGCGCACGCCAGTCGTGAAGCAACAACTTGCATTTAGAGGGGGAAAAACGCATCTCAAACATCCTGGCATTGTTGCTCAGTGCTATCAAAAGACTGAATTTTATCAGCGTCTTCACGAAACAGGACTATGTCATCTGCGTATTCTAAGTCCATAATTGGATTTTCTGGATGGAGATCAATCTCTGAAAATTCAGTTAATTTGTTTTAGTCGATTAATAATTAGTAGCCGAATTCAAAATTGTTTTAGTTTTGATTCCATACATTATCAATTTCCAATTGTCTGTTATTGAGGAATAATTGTTAGTTATACTTCTATAATAAATATTTCATGCAATTTAGTTTACTAAATAAGAATTATATTCAACTGCCTTTTATTTCATAATAATTAATAATTTGTTAGTAGACAAATGGTTAGAAACATGAGGTTACTTGGGTAGTCACATCAGAATGCGCTCTTCTTAATTAAATTCATCAAGTTCATGTCAGTTTGTTAGGAGTAGTTACAGTTTCACATGAGAAACTTATATTGTCAGAATTAATACATCCTTTCTAAACCTTGTCAACATGCTTACAAACTGACTAATAAGATAAAATTACCAATATTACAGGACGATTTTTCTAACAGTTTAATAATCAACTATTGACTATCATCATAAACACGACAAGCTAAAATTACTTGTTGTCAAACAGGGTTTACTGAAAAAAATCTGAAAACATTATTTTATGATTGATTTTTGCCTGATTAATATATTAATATTACTGTTACTGTTAAATATTTCCATATAAAATGGATTAAATGTCTTTAACTAGATCGGAGTGTAGGATTCTCTTCCTTAACCACTTGTGACTATTGATAGTTAGTTTCTCTTGGTTCAGTACTGTAATGTACTGACGGAACAATACATACAATAACACAAATAGTGAAACCAATAAAACGAATTTCGTAAATATTTTTAATTAAATATCACTAATTTCCGCTTTAAAATCAATTTTACGAACCTCCCGATCAGTTTGTAATATAACTTTCAAAGTATTCTTGTCACTGTTTTTCAGACTACGACGTAATGGCTTAAAATTATAAATTACAACTGTGATATGAATAGTGTATATGTATCAAGTTAAGATACAAGTTCATTCTCTTGCATCAAACATCATTTAAAGCACTTATACTATGTCATATTTCTATCAATTACTTCATAATAATTCATTAACAGAAGTCGTCTACTTTATGTTATTTATTCTTATTTTCCTGTTGTCTACTTGACTGTTAAACTATATAAATGAGTCAGAGATACTCCTCCCGTCTATCATAGATTCATAAATTAAATGAAACACATTGGTAATCCAGTTAGCTAAGCAAGTTAAATCATAGCTTTTAATACACACATATATTATACAAGTCAGCAGCCTCAGCAGCAGTAGGTCTCAACATACACAAAGGGAAAAGCAAGATTCTCCGATACAATACAGTATACAACAATCGAATCACACTAGATGGAGATCTGGAAGATGTAAAATCCTTTACTTATCTGGGCAGCATCAATGATGAACACGATGGACCTAATGTAGATGTGAAGGCGCGGATTGGCAAAGCAAGAGCAGCATGCTTACAACTGAAGAACATCGGGAACTCAAAAAAACCGTTAACCAACACCAAGGTCAGAATTTTCAATACAAATATCAAGGCAGTTCTCCTGTATGGGGCGGAAACTTGGAGAACTACGAAAGCCATCATCCAGTAGATACAAGTGTTTATTTACAGTTGTCTACGTCAAATACTTTGGATCCATTTGCCAGACACTGTCAGCAACAATCTACTGTGGGAGAGAACAAACCAGATTCCAGTGGAGGAAGAAGTCAGGAAGAAGCGCTGGAAGTGGATAGGACACATATTGAGGAAAGCACCCAACTGCATCACAAGGCAAGCCTCAAGGCCAAAGGAAAAGAGGAAGACCAAAGAACACATTACGCCGAAAAATGGAAATAGACATGAGAAAAATGAACGAGAATTGGATGGAACCAGAAAAGTAGGCCCAGGACAGAGTGGGTTGAAGAATGCTGGTCGGCGGCCCATGCTCTATTGGGAGTAACAGGCGTAAGTAAGTAAGTAATATTATACAAGCAAAAATGCACGTAGGGACTTGGGTTCGAATGTCCATGAATGAAAAACGACTCATTAAGTTGTTAATTAGAAGAACTATATATAAACGTCATCTCAATGTATGCTACTTTTTATTACTGATATATTATGAAGAACAAAATTAATAGTATCGAAATACTATGATTTTTACCTACAATAACAGTAAGTCACAAAAATATCTCTGTTGATATTAGAATTGCAGTGAACAACCCTATTCAGTATATACACCTTGGAATTAGATCAAATAAATATATATAAATGGAAATTAAGATGAGTGAATACATCACACAGAAGAGAATGTTTTAAAAATGTAAGTTATCGTAAATGTAGAGTATAAATGCAATTAGACATAGTGCGATGTAGGAAACAGAATGACATTATTTGGATAAGCTATTTGAAACATTTCAGTTGTCTAAACTTTAAGTTAGAACAAGTTAATTTTACTTCTTCATTATATTTTCTTTTTCAAATGCTCCAATTCCAAGACTAAATTTGATTCAGTGAGTAAATATATGCAGCACACAACCAAGATAAACAAAATGTCAAATCAAATAAGTTTTTTTTTAAATTTACTTATACATGTTAATATTCAACATTATTATTATTGTCTTACCACTATACAATTGAAAATGAGGGGAATGGCTTTCGGGGTTATTTTTTTAAAACAACATTAAAGTATAATTAGAGATTTGTTAATTTGTCACGTTCAACTATTGACATAAATAATCCCAGTAAAACTTAGCCAGTACCATTATATTAATATGATCATAACGTGATTAGAGAATAATTTCCAGATATATTAAATAAACTTAGCAGACGTAATATTTATAATCACTTTAAGTTAATGATTTACGGCGAGACTATAATTTATGGACGAACCAATCAGATATAAGATAACGAGTCACGAATTTGGGCTAGGAGTTCATTCATACATTTGGCTAAATAGAGTTTGGGCATTGCAGCTGATGTCAAATACTGATGAAAACCGTAAATCTAAGTTTAAACCCAAACCATCAACTGTAAATGAGAATTCTAACTGCTTGATAACCTTATTTAGTCCTAATTAGAAGTTGTTCACTCTCAAGGTCACTTCAGTGTCGCTAAAAAGTCATCCATAAATTATAGTCTCACCCGATTTACTTTTAATGGTTGAATTTATAAGCCGATTTAAGTTAAACAAATTAAATAAACAGTTATAGTACTTTTTACGTAAATCCGCCTAGGGATCCCACAAAAATTTCATCGTGGAGTTCCAGAAATTTTAGGAATACTGAGAACATTTTGTTTAATCAGTATACGCAGAGGAATCTTCTAGAAAACTGACAGGTTTTGTACCAATCTATGATTCGATGATTACCTATTCTTTTATCAATTTTAGCATCCTTCCAAAAGTTGCCAGTGGTTAACGTTTGCCAATAAACCAGTAAATAATCTTCTTTTGTGTGCATTAAGGAACCTTGAGGTAAAAATACTCTTAATTCACTCTATTCTCTACTATTCACGGCTCATTTGTAAGAGTACATAAGAAATTTAGAAACCCTCTAAGAAGTTATTACCAAGCATTTGAATACCAACACATGCCAAAATATTCCAGTAATGATATAGTATCCAATACTTTGTGGAATTCATCTCATTACAGTGAAAAAAAGAAGATACGGATTGTAAGTTGCGTTTATTTTTTGACTGATAATTCTAAATAAAACCAATAACACATAAACTTTTTTCTATACAATATGTGCTATAAGATTTATGCAGTAGTTGGCTTCATTTTATACTACAATCCTAGTAGTACCCCAAGTCTCAGAAAAAAAATCATTACAATGTTCTAAATTTCCACTAATCTCAAACACGATTCAACAGACATTATGAATAGGGATAAACTTGACTTAGAGGTTACACTTTAAACTTAATTAAAATAAACTTGTCAAAACTACAAAGTAGACAAAATTATTAGATATTATTGATTAGCTAGTCAAAATTTTATGCATTCACAAGTTAGTCATAAACTGAATACACTATTGGGAATATATATCATAGTTAAAGTGAATAATACACTTCTGAATTCACATAGAAACATAGTTTACTTCAGTTTACCAAAAGCCCTATCTCCAATTCTAAATACTCAAGAATATTCCACTATCAAGAAGTACATAATATAAATTATATCAAACAATCACTATGATGAACTCATTGATTCCTAAAAAAAGAAAATTGCCATCCTCATTTTAACTTAGATTTTGAATCTATCCAATAGTTATTCAATTGTAGACTTTATAGATAAACCATGTTATTATAAGATAGTAGATGAGAATGTGAATAATTTTGAAGATAATATAAAATCATCAGTTTTTCGCATGAATAGTTTCTTAAACTGTTTAGCTATAACAACAATAGTAATAATAATATGTATCATTACCAAGGTTTGACTTGATAATTTCGAATAAATTGAACATTGGGTAGATTGTTATAAATAAATAATATGTCTTTTAATTATCCGAATGAGTTGAAAAATTAGATTTTCTAACGTTTCGTGACTGAGTGTAGGCCACTTCTTCAGAGAATAATAATAATAATAAATTGTTTAGTACATAATCAGAAAACCATGAACTGTTGTTTAGTATGTTCTGATAAATGTCTTTATAATGTTAAAACAATACTGAAACTCTATAATTATCGAAGTAAAATTTAAAAAAAACGATCCATTTCTGTAAAATGGTCATAGAGCTCTATTTTAAAAAAAAATAAAGAATTTATTATATTGTGAAAATGAAAATATAGTATTATAATATGTATATAAACACATAACTTACGCATTCCCATTGTGAAACCATTTAATATTTGCTGGACTTAATGGTGGATTTGCTTTAACATTGCATGTTAATTCAACTTCTTCACCTAAACGAATGTCTTCATAACGTAATGGTTTAATTAAAGATACATGAACATCTGGATCCATCCCTTGAAAGAAAATAATCAAATAATAATAATAATAATACAGTTCAAATACCCTGAATGAGAGGCTAAAACAATAAAACACATATCAAAATTGTTCAGAGGAATTCAACGAGTATCTTAGTATGTTGGGGGACTGCTTGAATGTCTGGTCTACCAGATCCTGCCATCTAGATATTTCAACAAGTTATGTGTCTTTTGTTTGTTTCAACAGATCATTGTATTAATTAATTGCATAAATTATTCAGGTGCGTTTGTGAAACGTTCGCGACCTTTCGCTTTATAAATTAGGAAAGAGCACAATCAAAGACATTGCGATTGCTGAGAATTTACATTTAAAGGCATGTACATTATTCAGATGTTGATTCATGAGCTGCTAACATATATATAACATGACTATTATTTGCTTATTATTACAACAAAAAGCAGAAAATTAACTGCATTCATCATGTTCTACGCTTCATTGTTTCTGTTGTTATGATGGCTAGTAAACAGAACCATATGAAGATCGAATAGCTATACTTCAGTGAATAATTCAATATGTTATTCGTGCGTTAATTCATCAGTTGTTTTATTGTATTGCCATCCATAAATGATAATTTTTTACTGAGATATGTACTCAGTGTGTCCTAGATATGAACCTGATAAGGCTTGTTACATATTGTATGTTGCGGCCTTGTAGTTCAAGCATATAGTTGTGTGAGTATAAAATGGTTACTTACGCCCAGTCATAGTTAAACTGGTGATTTAAGAACGTCGGTAATTACGTGATTCAACGATGGCCATTGCTACCTCACTTAGTATTTTAATCCAAAGAAAGAATGTATTATATCAGAAGGTGGTCAAATGATCTAGTCATATGCTAGCACTTATTTTCGATTTCGTATACTGTAGACCGAGATATATACTTTATTTGCTAAGGCAATTGACACCACATTATTTGAAAGAAAGGGTTACAATGACCAGAACGTTAGTCTCATTTACATTCTGGATATTTAAAAAATAGGGTTTCTTAATTTCAGTAAAAAGAACGATAAGACAAGTTTATGAATTTAAAAATATAGCAATAACATAACTAACTGCACCAAACTTTAACAGTGTGAAAGTTATAGTCTTTTAAACAAACAAAAATACATTCCGTTTTATGGGTAGTTAACACTGGTATTCTTTATTCATATTCATTTATCCAAACCATTCAATGATGACATGCACATAAACCTTACATTAATCTTCTGACAATGAATAGAATAGTTCCAAAACAGTACTATCACCAGTGTAATTTTACTAGACGATTAATCAAAATCATTAAAGGTATTAATCAATTTTACAAGATACCTGATAATGTTACCAATTTACTAAACACATGTTTATCTACTCGACCTTGAGCTACATTAGTCATGTGAGAGCTAGTAATATGAACCCGTTTTATCAAACCAAAATGGATATTGTGGTATTTGGAATTCTAATCTAATGATTGAAAGCCGAGAGCTCCCATCACTAAGATATACCTGATAAATCCTAATAATAATTCGTGACAAGTAAGATACTAAGATTTTTCACTATAAAATAGACAATCATTTGATCATATTCGACCAGAAACAAAAATTACTACCATAAGACTAATTTTCCGCATTGATCATAATGAAACTTACAGTAAATGTTTACTTTTGCTTCTCTACTAGCTGTCGTGAAAGTTGAAGAACGGTTCAACGCTTGACATTGATAGGTACCAGGATCTAATTCACGATCAGCATGTAAAATCTGTAAATTACTATCCACTTCAAGGTAACGTCGACCACTCTCTTTTTCCAATTGTAAACGTGTACCATTATGTAACCATGAGTAATAAATATCTTTTGATGGAGTTACAGCACATCTCAAACGTAATGGTTGTCCTTCTTCAACATCTTGGTCATTTGGACTGACAGAAAAGTAAAAACTATCACTGGATGCACCTAAAAATTATAAAATATGAAAAAAAAGAGTATGCTTACTTATCTCTCCAAGTTTTGATCAAAATTGGATAATATAAATGAACAATTGAGCACAATAAAATCAGATTAAGATAACTTGGAGTTGACTTGATGCAGTGTGAGTAAGCTTTAAGTTGTAACAGATAGGTACAGGAACTCTTTACTGTTATATGTCTTAAAGTAATCATCACACAGCACTAGATATAGGTTTCTTACAGGTTGACGATCTTTAGAAAGATATGTCTTCAATCCTGTATGAATAGATGCTACCTGTAAGATTTGAATCTGGATAAATCAGTGGTATGTTATCGCTAAGCTATTTAGGTTGTGCCCAGCTTGCATTAAGACTTTAATATTGATCACTGAGTAATAATAAATATTATGTTAATCTTTAACGGATCACTGTAAATTTAAAAAATCACTTATCCATACAAATTCACTAATTCTATTTTATTACAAAATAGTATATCGAGTTCGTAAGGTAGGTACCGAATTACCATGATAAAAACCAACTCTTCTAGTTTGATAATTTCAATATATCGATTAAAGAGGATTGAATCACTATTAGTTATTCAACTACATGTTAATTATTCCTTTGTTTGGTCATTATTTCTAAACTGTAGAGAAGATAAAATTCATTGGATAGAATCCCATTTCATAGTTAATTTACTTACATATATTTATCCTACTGAAGTTATTAAACATCAACCAGCAATCAATGACATGAAATAAACACATTCATACAATTTACACGTACAAAACTCTTTCTTTTCTCTTTTCCTTTATACAAATCATCATATCTAATGATGTAATAAGAAATACAGAAAATGTTTGAATTTCAGTACACTGGGTAACATTATGTTCAACGTGTGGATAATGCAGAAACAATGAGATTCTACAATATTTTGTATTTTAAAACAGGTAAATATGACATATTCTATATTGTGACTAACTGTATCGTCATTTCAGATTCAATCAATAATGTATATTGTGTATACATGCAGGTATATGAACTGCCAAATCAACATAGCACGATCGATAGATAGACGAACAAACAAGTTAAAAATGTAGACATATATATATTTATATTCCAGCTAAAAAGGAATAAGTCATGTTTTCTTTAGTTACTCTTTAGAAAAAAAACAAAACAACAACAACAACAAAACAACAGAAGTCAATATTTGTATGCAAATGAATGTCACACACGTTCGTGTATTTAGACATTTAATGTAATAATAATAGTAATGATAATAAACCGTAACGGTGGAAACACAGTTAAAAATGACCCATCATGTGACAAAAACATGTAAAAGTTTCTCATTTAACCAATCACTAATACAAAACAGACGTATTCATGTATACAGGAAGTTAGATAATATATATTATTGTATAAATTGAATATATTTTCAGATAAATTACAAGTTAGTTAGTTTGTTTTTAATGTTTAATGTTGAGTGATTTTTAATGTAAGAAATCAATACGTCACATAATGTATTCATTGAAGGAAGAAAAACTAACTACATACCAGCGTGCTATCTGTATAAGACTAAAACTGAATGACTTTATTATGGAAATTAAAAAATATATATACAAGTAATCATTGATGCTTATATTCTACACAGTATCATATTATGTATATGAGGTATATTTTGGTGAATTCCTAATAGAAGAGACATAATCCTTCAATTATTTTTATAATAAATTAGTTAGGTGTAATGTTTTTGAACTAGTGAGTTCAATATAAAAGAACTTACAGGACTGATAGGTCCTGGGTTCGAATCTCGCTGGGGACGGAATCGTGGATGCGCACTGCTGACGAGTCGCATACTAGGACGGAACTGTCGTCCAGTGCTTTCAAGTTTTCCATGGTGATCGAGCTTCAATTGACTCATGATTTCAACTATTGAAATTTGAATTATTCACAATTGATATAATCCTGAAATTTCCGCATTTTCATAAGCAAAAATAAATAAAAATAACGAAGTTTGGTCTACTTGATATTACTGAGAGTATTTTACTAGGAAATCTAATGTTCCAAAAGATAAACACAATACTCTACAGACCATTAAGCTGAAAATGTAAACCATAGATATCAATTAAGTAGCCTAAAATGTAAGGTGATTGTTGTAAGGCTTGAAAATTATTCATTTGTTGCTTGTTGGGGGTCTTGGAAGCATACTTCTCAGGATCGCATCTGTCAGTATGTTCTGGTTTCCTCTAACTGTCTAGCTAAGGTTAGTCTGCGATATTGTTAGTGTATAACATATCTGTCGCCTATTCTCTATGCAACAATTGTGATTCGGATTGGAAATCACTGAAACGACAATTTTGTTAATACTCAGAGTAATTTTACTTACTTCCAGCCAACTCAAGTATTTAATTGAAATTCAATTCACTATACAAGCTGGTACGGAGATGTTAACAATCTTGAGAATAAACACATTTTAGAAATACCATGTAGATGAAAACTGTGCGCTATTCTGATATCCAAAGACACTACTATTATGTAAATTTATTACAAAAGTATACTTGTTAAGGAAACATTAAAGACGATTCATCGTAAAACAGTCTTCTCATGACAAAATTATTTGTTTTAGCTGTAAAATTGTATTCTTAGTTAGCTAACACATTTACTATGGTGTTGGATAATGAGACAGATATTAAGTCGTTGATAGTTTGTTCAAAATTTTTAAGTGTTAATAAGAAGTTTTGTGAAAATCACAGTAGGTGATGAAAAAAACTGGAGTGAAAATTTTATATATATATTAATGATTCTTAATACCAATTTAGTGGGAAGATGAAAAAGGGCTAGAACCGTTGATATGTCGAGTTTGAACACATAGTTCGAGCTTTAGATAATGAATTCATATGGTTATAACTGTAACTCATCTTTCATATCAGTACTGTGTTTAACCTAATTAATTCGAATTCGTAAATAATTTTAGATTATTGTGATAGTGGCATATGGCTAGAATTAATGAAGTGTTCAAGAGTTCAACTTTTGTTTTCGATAATTAGGCACAGTACTACTCGAGGATGAGATTAGAAGAACTACGTCTTATAAACCCTATATAATCAGCTCTACAAGGGCAAGTAAACTGACTGATCGATATTGAGATGGCCTCATGGATTATTTTATACTTAAAATATTCACTAATGAGTTACTGGCTGCAAAAGACAATTCGAAGCTCCATGTAATGAAATATATTTTTGAGAGATCCCGAAAATTAATTTCTCAGTATGTTTATTGTATTATTTCCCTTAAATTCAGTGGTTATAAAAAAAGTCTCTTTTAATACTTTAGAGTTCTTAGACATTTGAGTTCACCATAAATGGAACTAGAATTAATCTCAAATATCCATCGCCCACTAGATAACATTATCAAATTTAGTAGGGAAACCCTGAGTCGATATTCTTCAAACTAGCGGAACTACTCAAGTTATCTGTAGTCTTTATGAAGTTTTCAATTTCCTAATTAATTAAACGAGTTGTTGATCTTTAAAATTATGATTTCAACATTATTCAGTCATGTGAATACTCCTAATCAAACATTTTAAAACGAATACTGAATGTAGAAATACTTTATTGAAACCAATTGAACAGGATATATATCCAAAGGAGAAAAAAACATTGATTACAAACTTCTAAATACATAGAATAGACATATTTGTGAAAACTCATATGGTTGCAGATTTGTTTAAGAATATCAGTGCTTAAAATACAATGTAAGTTAAATAGAAGTCAATAAATAACTTGAAAAAAAAACTACTTTTTAAATCACCTTTGTATTTTGTGTCAAAATCATTTGTAGGGATACAACTAAAAACAGTCTTTGTCCATCCGACAACTTAACTATAAAGAGAAATGTTAAGAAGTGTTATGATAAAGTTTTTATTTATTTATTTACTTAAACATATAAACATTGGTATAAGGAGTCACTGAACAGATATAAACCACATAAATCATTCGGTTTATGTGAGAGCTGGAATATTGCCCGAGTGCCAAAATCGAAGTTATCTGATAGAAATAGGTTAACGTATACAAATCTACACCTAGAAAATCTTTTCCTCACATTTTAAAACTTGATATCAGTTCATTAGAAATAGTTTTCGGAAAAGAAAGGAAAAAAGAAAATGTAACTACATTTCCTTGAATGCTGTTTTGTTATAACATACTACTTCAGATATCATAGTGTGTATGTCCCTAATAGTTATTTCATAGATTAACTACAGGAATATATCAATAATCTGTTTTTGGTTTATTGAATATAAAATCTTTCAAACTTTCTAATTAATTTGTGTAACTAAATTTCTGAATCAATTCCTCTATTAGTTCACTGTCACTTTCCATTCACGAATAAGACTTAATTGTTTACAAAAACATTTTTAATAAGCTCAATAAAACTTGACTGTTCTTAATTATATTATCATCTTTGAAATTTAAGAAATTAATGATTAAGTTATGGATAGGTAGCCAGTTACGAACGAAATATTACACTAATGAATGTTTGTTACAATGCTTAAGTTACTTATAAGAATGTGCTCATATATTAGATTGACTACTAACTTTTATGCATATAAACAAGTTTTAATTTATCAATAGAAGAAGCTAGTTTCAGTATTATTATTATTATTGTTTTATGTGTCATATCATTAGCCACAATAATTAGATTACATGAAACATGATCAATATCACATAAACATTGAGATAGATTATACAGTTATCTAATACTTCTTTGCTATGTGTATATAATTTCAAAGAAGGTAATTGAATTTTGATCAATTGAATAGTTGCTTTTAGAAGAAAACAAAAGAGGCGGCAAATGATAAACCTTTCATTTAAACAACATAATTTAATTGATTTCACAGTATAACAAACATTATTTTCAAGATATTTTAAGTGTTTGCATGATTGATGGACAAAAATTTGAACCAAATAATTTTAGATCAGTTATAATTAGATATTAGAATATAAATATAATAAAGCTTATTTTTCTCTATACATATTGATGATAAGATTAAAGGTGAGATTAAATTATATTTGAGATAGTTGTTAAGATTGAAATTCAGTATCAATTCTTTATCCTAACTGGGACTAGCCAAATGCATGTATCTGGATCGAAGTGTTAGTGTTCACATTCAAACTTGTGCTCAGTAACCATTGATCTAAAGTGTTAGCCAACTTGTTTAGTTAAAATGATTTTTAATTATTACTTGGACATATTTGCGTTTTTACGTTGTTTTTTTTGGTATTTCAGGACTGCTTATCTCAATCCCTGTGTTGTTGTATATGATCAATTCAATCTTAAATGTCAATAACAAGAAGATTTAAAGCGTTACAATGAACAGTAAAGTTGGAAGTATGTATTGTGTGAATTCCAATGAATGTACGATAAAATTCAGATGGATACACTGAAAGATAAGACTCATAATATCTGATATCAAGAACTACCAATTTAGTATGCAGACTAACCATACTCATTTGTTTTAACAACAGAAATTCCAGACTTATGAATAAATTAATTGTTACAGTTGATATCTCAGTTAAGAAAATATTTCTAGTTACATTTATTTTATGAATATAGTTTTATGAATGAGAATTAACTACAACAAATAATCGTTTTCCATATGCTCCTAAAGTTAACAAAATAACGGTTGGGTAGTTGATCATTAAGGATCATTAAGAGCAACGCTATTTGTATTCGAAACTTTTTGATCAGTAAATAAGTTGTATAAGCCAAAGAATGACGAAAATGGCAATGGTTATAAAAAAAACATTTGGTTTTATATGGTTTGGTATAAAGAAGGTAAATCTTAACAGATTAGCTTCTCTCCAAATCAACGTTCCAATGTTTGGCTTGTCTGGGTTTTTTAAAAAGACTTTACATGAATATGTAGATATCGATCA